GCTCGTCGGACTCTCTTGGAGTGTCGAGGCAAAAGTATTTGAACTCAAGACTGCTAAAACCTGAGGATGAGTTTATCAAATGCAGTTTGAATCCATATGCACTGTCAAAAAGAAAACACAGGGTATCTTTGCTGGTTTTACAAACACCAGTTGGTTAGGTTGCTGCCTTTCCAGCAATTATGATTACGGAGAGATCAGATTTGGTGGTTTTCTGAAAAATATAGGGAGTTAAAGTACTCTGTGTAAGTGCAGTATTTTGGTGATTTCGGCTGTGGCTTTTCTTTTGGAACATCATTGGGCACAAATATATCACAGTTTTTAGTGAGCAATTTTCTGGTGCAAGGGTTACAGAATTAAATCACTTTAAATATGTTGCAACAGCTTGCCTTGTACTGCTCTCTCTTTTTATTTTTTATTGTGCTATTTTGTACCCTTTTGTTGGTTTAGCAGTGGACATTGCATTTCCCAAATCATCAGTAAAGTCTGGAATCTCCTGGATGGCATTAGAAACTACACTGGAGCGGTGCTGTAGTTAACAAGCACTATGGAATGCTGTCGTTTAGATTATTTGGGTTAGGATTAAGATTGTCAAGAAAGAAAAAAATAAATAAAATACAGAAAAGAGCCCAAAGCTAATGTAGCATAAAGACATATGAGTCTTAAAATCTTCAGAAACATTTAACATTTTTTTGAACATCCTGTAATTTACTCACCCTTACATTTTTAACTCACGACTGACTTGAATTCTGTGGAAAACATATTAAAGTCAACGGAGTCTACTGTTAATTGTAGCACAATGTGTACAACATTAGGTTGTGTAAGTGACAACATTTTCATCTTTTTGGGAACTATCCCTACAAAAAAACTAAATAAATTATTTAAGTATGTGTGTCTACATTTCATGTTATAAATAAGTTCCAAATCAATATTTGAGAATTAAAGCAACACATTTCCAAATGAAGGTTTGCTTCAAAAATTTGCTTGTGCCTCAAATGCTCAGTCATTCACTAGTAGTTGAGGACCCATTAAGGAATCTACTGGGGTTTGATTATGCTGTTTAAATGGAGGCCTTGTCTTTGAAGCGTGCTGCCGGTGTGCCACGTTTAGGCAAGCAGACTGAGGCTAATGTAAACTGTAAAGCCAAATTTTGAGCTAACTGGTAAAATGATCCCAAGTCCTTGTCACCTCTCCTTAGATCAACAGACTATGGGAATTTGCCTTTTTCCCTCGTTGTGCAGAACCTCTGTGACTTTATGATCCAGTATGCTTGTTCTTTGCTGAAACGGACTTCATCTCCTATGAAATGCAAATTTTGTTCTTTGACTGTAATACCTTGTAAGTGATATTTTGATGTTTATTGGTTTACATGGTGATATTTAGTTAATAGTTGTGTTATCGTTAATTTTGTACTATTGCAGCACTATAGACATTGTAAGTCCTTAAGCAAATTCATATAATGCATGTTAATAATTCACACAATTGTTATCATTCATTTAATATAGCATTTTGGTATTTCAGATGTAGTGTAAATTAAAGCAGTTACGGATGTTCTTCAGGCATTTCAGTACGACAAATCGAACTATTATTTGTTTAGTGTGTGTCAAAATATACAGTATGTCTTATTTTTTATTTATATGATTTTCTTTTATTTATTTCTATGACAAAGGGGACTGAAAAAAGTGAACACCCAAAAGAATTCTGGCAATTTTTAGAACATTTTGATACTTTTTCTTTTTATCCCTACCTGCAGTATTTAATTGTGTTTTACAACAGGAAAAAAAGGCTCATTATAGAAATGCAGCTGAGCTACTTCCTTTCATATAGGTATTCATCATATCGGCCAAACACTCATAAAAAAAACATAGTTTGCTAGATTTACTGAGAGTGCTTAAAAAGGTTTGCAAGCAAGAAGAATATATGAAAACAGTCATACACACACTAGGAATATCAAAAGTCTTATTGAAATTGAATGTAATCACTAACTATTATTTTGCACACAGGTTTTCTCAAACACTGATCGGACAAAATACTTTCAATTCTGCCATTTTGTGTCTTGACATTGCTCTCATCAGAGCCAGTAGATAAACTATATGAGCAAACTTGAGCCTTACTGGTTCACACAACCACCAAAATACAGAACAATACTGAAAAAGAAGCAGTGACGAAACCAAACAAGTCATGATGCTGCCTGTTGTACAAGATTGTCAATCAAGCCATCATCATTTCTTAACTGATAAACTGCCAACTTCTTGTACTGCAAATATTTTAGCCCATAAATACTTTGTAGTTTATTAAAACGTCAACTATCAACGGGCTGTAATAATACTGAAATGCTTAAATACCTTGTTCACCATGACATGATATAAAAGGGATATGTGTGTTGTGCGAGTGCATGCTTAATTGATGCGTTTAATGTTGATATTACCATAAGTTTATGTGAGCCCTTTCATTAACCTCTCAAGCCAAATGCAAATGCCGTGATGGTGACGCGTTGTGTATTAGTCCAAGGCATTTGTTTTACAAGGTTGTATGAAGTCATCATCCTTTGACATTTCACGGACTCCCTTTGGTTTTGGGCTTAGTCTCCATTAACATGAACCTTGTCCATTTACATCTGACCTACATTTCTAATCTTTTTTGTAAGGACAATTGTAGTGTTCGTGTTAGCTAATGGTGTGGTAAAATTGGGGTTTCACTGAAGAGGTGATGAAGGGCTTCCTTTTTAAAAGTGTTGTTTTCTTTTGTTATTGGTGCTGACCACCGAGGAGGAATTACTTAAAAGCTTGTTTTGAAAACCACATACCCTCTTCGACAAAATAGTCATGCCCAGGAGAGCTGTGACATTGATGCAAGTCTAGTCTGTGACTGCGGCTCAGAATTAGTAAGTAAGCTACGCTTGAGGCTGGTAAGTATCATGGTTTAACTTCTTGTATTTTCGCTTTAGGCATCACACCTCATAAAATCACGACACACAAAATGGGCCTAAGCAACTTTCATTTTGGCCTAACAAATTTCTCTGGCAGGACATTTTGTATGTCGCTCTTTGTGAGATGCTGTAATGATGTCTCTTCAGAACAAAATGAATCATTACCTTTTAACAAGTTCTTGTAAATCAAATGCAAATCTGAATATTATATTATGATTTACTATGTGATAATCCTAATGGTCCTTCAAATTAGACACAATTTTGTAATTTCATTGCCCTAATGAAAGGTAGTTATCTGTATCGGCCAACCTCATCAGAATGGATTATTATTCTTTGTGCTTCAAAGTTGCTTTTCCTAATTATATGATCAACATATTGTCTTAAAAGGGTTATGTTTGTGGCAGCTTTCAGCAGTTACATATGTCCGTTGCAAACATATTAATATCATAAATATAGCACACAAACAGTCATCATCTGTGTAGAAATGGATGAAACGTGTTTTCAATTGAAGTCAGTTACTCAGTTTTTACTAACCTCTAGATCAATTACATGATGCATTTATTATCCCTTATTGAGAAATAAACTAATCCTTAGAACTGAGATTTTGAGATGCTGTTTTTTTACAGGATGCAACCAAAGGCATGGATTCTACAGCAGCCATTTACAAATAGTCATGAACAGAGCAGGATACTGATAAAAATATCACCACTTCTTGTAACTGATTTCAATAAGCATTACATGTTCTACATAGACATCCAATTATTATTATTTTTTAAACAGACAAGTGTTTTCCCCCCTGTTTTTCTGTTACCTTCAGCCAGCTTATATCTTGTGAGCAGATCAATTATTGATTATGTGCTGAAAGATTAATTGGAACTGCTCTTCCTCCCACCACAAAGTAACACTTTATAATAGCTTTCATTTATGAACAAACATTAATGCATAATAGGCACTTGGTAATGTACATTAGTATATTTTGAAATGTCATTACATTTAATTTCATATCCGATTTAAATATCTGTTTATAGGCCTTTATAAATCTAAATCAACAGCTGGTCTGTTAGGCATCACATCATGTTATATTAATAAAGACGTATTGAAGTTATTGTAAAGTGTTTCCTATTAAAACATCTTAACTTAAAATTAAACGAGCTAATTTTGCCATTCGCTTGTAAGGTTCTGTTTTTTGTTTTTTTTCCCTGTCAAAGAGGTTTTGATTAGTTTGGGAAATAGTATTTTATTTGACAACATCTGCACAACAGACCATTATTAAATCTAATGTATGTCGGTATCTCGCTGCGTCATCCGTTTATTATGCAGCGCGTCGCCTGCAGCTGTTTGTATTCGCTCGTTATGAAAATATGAATGCGATCACAATTAGCCTACTTAATTAGTATATAAAAAGTGTTACTAATAATGCCGTTGTTGTTGTGTTGCTGCTGGTTCTGCTGCTTTTTGAATGATTTTTTTCTCTCTTCGTTGTTTTCACTAACAATAATCTTGTCATGTTCTTTAGATCTCTTTCACAATGCTGGTCCTCAAACCTTTCTGACAACTAAAGCTAAAAGATGAACACGTATTGCGGTTTGCCTCCATTAGAAATAGCCTTTTCCGGAGGACACAGATCTTAGGCCTGTAACAGACTGAGATATAGTGTGGTTAGCATATTCTTTTTGCCCTTTCTTATTGCAGCCAGTGTTGTGTGTTTTTCTGGTATCCTGAATGATTATTCTATTCTATTGTGTGTGTGTGTGTGTGTGTGTGTGTGTGTGTGTGTATATATATATATATATATATATATATATATATATATATATATATATATATATGCATTTTTTCTTACTGTTATGATATTTATTTGTAATTGTATATCGGTATGAGGCATTTTCCAACCATTTTTTTTTTTTTTTTTCCCGTATTTTTGTTGGTGTTGTTTTTGAAATATTATTACTTTGGAACATTGCAGTCTTAGAAATGGCTTTAGTGATTATAAGCCTGTTTTCTAATATTTTAAGCTCCAGACAGCTTGTTAAATTGATCAAATTCGTTTAATCTCAAGCACATTAGTGTCAGTTTAAAATATGTCCATTGTTAAAACTGCATTAACTAAAACAAACATTTGCAGAAGACTTTTTATGGACACATTGAAACATTTTTCCAACCTCATTATGGGCTACCGCTACCAGCTCTTTGGCTTTCGTGTCCCTCCTATTTCCCTCTTATTTTAGTCTCTTTATTTTTATTTTATTATTTTATTTTATTTATTTATAATAAGGTTATTATTAAATAGCATGAGATAGTGATGGATATCAAAGGACGGGAACCCTGAGAAAAGTTCTCATGTATCTAATGCTGCTTCCTTTACATGTCCTCAGGGCCGTTTCCATCCACGAATAGCTTTATCTACAGATTGCTAGAACGTGTTGAAAAAGAAATTTGTGGGTTTCTTTTTTCTTTTCTTTTCTTCTTCTTTTTTTAAACATACAATTATAGAAGATGAAATAACTCTAGTTTATTACTGATGCTTTTCAGTACCCTATTGGTTAAAGAAGTGTTTTGATTTAGTATGCTAGTTCAATTTTCATTCCAAAGCCTTCGATTTTTTACACTAACATTTTAATTAATTTATATGGCATTTTCAAATATTTTATTGAATACAGCTAATTCCTTATAATGCACATCACTTAACTTTCTTTGTGCAGGAGTACGCGCTTGCATATCTATTAGAATTGGTTTTGGTCTTGGTTTGTTAGCCTAGATGGGTTTTCATATTGGTGTACAGATCCGAGCCTGCAATCATGTCAGAGAAAATGTCAAAACACTCAATGTGCCATAGACAACTTGTAAAAGCGTATATAATTAGTTGCGTTTGCCTTCCGAAATGTGTTAATTCAACTGTCTGATTCAAAGTATTAAGTATTGTAATTCAGATTATCGCATTACATATAATTTAATTCGGTCTTCAAAGGTCAAATGTGATAGCCGGGGAGGTTATGCATCTTCCTAATTGTGTTACTGTGATAGCTGAGCTATGTTATATTGGTATTAAGTTGTGAAGTCCATTGCATTTGCTTTGTAAATATTAGCCTACAGATGGACTTTACTCTGATGTGATTATCAATATGAATAACCTGGTCTAATTGTAGCTTTTTATTGAAGGGCTTTGCAGATTATCCTGTTTTAACAGAGTCATAAAAACATGAGTATCATTGCAGATGAATGCTACGCGTACTAGAATCTGCTTGCACTTTGGCTCTGCGTTTATTTCAAGGTGGAAAATCTTGAGTTGCTTCTCTCTGCGTGCTAAGACTGTTTTACAAATGCTTCCTTTTAAACTCACCATAACACGCGATGAGTCCTCCGTTGTGTCCGCTTTCCTGCTGGAGTTTGCTGCTGTCTGGGGGAGTTTTGCAGGAGGACCTCTGCATGAAGAGGTGGTATTTGTTAAAGGTGCCTTCCCCAGCAGTGGCATCCAATGACTGGCATTCCTGCTGGAACAGGCTCCCAGATTTCTCCCCGTACGCCTGACCTTTGTTGGTCAAGAAAGCGGGGCTGTATTTGGTGTCACTCGCCTGGAATGTCCTGAAAGGGTTCGCCTGGTGATCCCTACCTTGCGGTGCAGATGGGCTATAATATGAATCCATGGATGTCATTTCGCAGTATGAAACGCACGTCTCTGCGTTCATTCCTACAAAAAAAAAACGTTTCGGGAAGAAAAAGAAGTCCAAGCGATCCCCCCCCTTTCTTTCTTTCCTTTTTGGAGAGCAAAGCGTTCAGATACTCTTAACACTCTCTCCCTCTTCCTCATACAAAACGAATACACACATACACGCACACTCACACACGCACGCATAGACTTGTGCAGCAGCTGGCTTTGGTTATAAAATGATTCAGATGTTTTCCAGAAACGGATAGCTACCCAAAAGCTAAAAAGCCCCCTTAAAGTTAGAGGAGGAACGAAAAATGCGTCTTCTGAAGATGCAGCCCAGATCTTCTCGGTATAGACACGTCAAGACCTCTCCTCGGTTATTATGTAGATGAAATGAATGGGTGAGGTCAGACCTTTGCTAAGAAGAAAAAATGTTTTGTTGGAAATATGTGGGGGGACTTAACACATGACATTAATGTCATTAGGATATGAAATATGTAACTTATTGAATGTGAAGGGCAACACGGAGGGAGCAATTTAATGGCTGATTCGCAATGCTTTTTAACTAAACTTAGTCTTGCCAACAAAGAAAACGGCTAGATCTGGGTTTATATGTTTATTGTGTATTAGCCACTTATGTGTTTTCATTGTTAGACTCTTGTGTTTTTTTTCTTTTATGTTACAAATCCTTTCTCACTTTAACTGACGTTTTTATCTTTATAAACAAGTTTGTGGTGATCATTCTGTTCTGATACCACGTTTGGCATCATATATTGCCATCGATTTAATGTAGTTTTAGTGCATTTAAATCATTTTAATTTCTATGCTATCTCTATTGACTTAGATTCAAGCCAGAGTAGAACTTGTCACTAAATTGTATTTTGACAGTCCCTTTTTTTCTCACTGCAAACATTATATCGTGTTTCATGTTGGTATCGGATCTTATTATTTGGTGTCTAACAATCAGCATAAAGTAGTATCCAAGAAAAAATGACGAATGTTGTAGCTTTCACATTTTTCTCATTCTAATTCTATAATAATCCTTGCTAAAAAAAAAACATGTTGCCCATTATGACGTGTTCATAATGTATTTGGTCTAGTGGCTGTAAAAAAATTATGACGTTGCAGCACTTTTTTGTCATATAATTATGCAATTTTTTTTCTCTTCGGCAACCGTCAGTCGGGGGTACATAAAAAAAAAAATGGAGAAAAAGTGATGATACTAAATATCCGATGCTCACTCCTGCCATCAATCGAACATTAGCAACACTAATAGTTTACTAATGTAAACTAATGTGACCTTTGCAGGTTCTTAATTTGATCCTAAATTAGAGATTATTAAAACACTGTTAATCCGAAACCACAGTAGACAGAAGAATGGTTTCCAGGTTCCGAGGCCTATTCATGGTCAGGATATTTTTGGTTTATGAGATGTCTTTTAATTTGTATGCAGCAACCAAAATTTTTTATAAGGCCTGCTAAGTTTCTTTATCCAGATTTCTTTCAGCAACAACAAGCTATTCGAGCCAGCCTTTTAAATTGGTTAGGTAACGATGCGAGTAAACAGCATGTGACATCTAATTTATTGTAAGATTTTGCAGTTGCTTTAATGTCTGTAAGTAGCCTACGACATCATGCATAATAACTAAATAACTCAAGAGACGGTGATAGCGTAGTCCTATGGTAAAGCAGGCCTGCATTAATTTAGAATATGAAAAGCAGAGGGGAAGCCTGGGCAAGATAGCAAATCTGGCTAAACTACACATCCTAAACATATCCAGCAATGTCAGTACGCAGGGCCATGTCTGATGCCGAACTGATTCAGCAAAGTGAAACTGAGTAATTCGTTAAAAATGCATTTTATTTTCTTCTCAGCAACCTGTGTCCAATATTATTAAAATATAGATATTGTTTGTTTTGCTTCTGTTATTTTTGTATTTATTATTATTATCGTGTGATGGCTTAATTAAAATATTATTTTTGGCGTCTTCATTTTTAAGCGATCTACATTAGTGTTTGTATTCGGTGGCATTAAAAAGCAGCACTTTTTAGCTGAGAACGTTATTGAGGGGAAATGAAGAGCGTCATAAAACAGTGTCAGCAAAAGCTGCGTTCCTTAATCAAATTCAATAGAGCATTTATTTCTGGTTCTGCATTGAAGTTCTCTCGTACACCAATCCTTCCGCTATCAATGAACGAACTAAAAAAAGAAGTGATCATTGTGTCTGCCGCAACCAAATCCTTGAAGGAAATACGAGCTTAATTGGATTTCTGCAATGAGTTGGTTGCTTGCATTGTAACAATATCGAGACGAGTATTTCTACTGCTAATTACCCCAGCTGTCTGCCGTTGATAATAAAACATTGACTATTTTTTATTGTAATGTTTATGGGTTCAGCGCTGATTTACAGTTAAGCTTTAATGTGTGATTATCTGTATAAACAAGACATTGTTTTTTCACTTTATATTTCGTAATTATGGTCTTGATCATTGTGTTCTATTTATTTAATATTTCCATGTACTCATGGCTTATCTTATGATATTTTCCAATTACGAGATAAACTCATGTTCTTGACTGATTTTGCGTCGTTTGAAGCATGTAATCCAGGGTCGCCTGTTTATGCAGAGTGTACAATCGAATGTGGAATGATGCAAAGTAGCCTATTTTGATGTATTTTCATTTTGCAATGAGCAGACTCCGAGGACAGTTCATGCTTTCAGAGAAAAGTGCATTGATTAGATTCGTTTCAAACCCAGGGCTAGATTTAATTGAATTAGCTCAGGTTTAAAGTTTTGGGTCTGGATTTTCAGACTGCCCTCGTGTATGATAAACATAGCCCCGTCAGAACAGGCTCAGTTTTCATGTCGTACACTCTTGGATATATATATATTTCTGGTTCTGCATTGAAGTTCTCTCGTACACCAATCCTTCCGCTATCAATGAACGAACTAAAAAAAGAAGTGATCATTGTGTCTGCCGCAACCAAATCCTTGAAGGAAATACGAGCTTAATTGGATTTCTGCAATGAGTTGGTTGCTTGCATTGTAACAATATCGAGACGAGTATTTCTACTGCTAATTACCCCAGCTGTCTGCCGTTGATAATAAAACATTGACTATTTTTTATTGTAATGTTTATGGGTTCAGCGCTGATTTACAGTTAAGCTTTAATGTGTGTGATTATCTGTATAAACAAGACATTCTTTTTTCACTTTATATTTCGTAATTATGGTCTTGATAATTGTGTTCTATTTATTTAATATTTCCATGTACTCATGGCTTATCTTATTATATTTTCCAATTACGAGATAAACTCATGTTCTTGACTGATTTTGCGTCGTTTGAAGCATGTAATCCAGGGTCGCCTGTTTATGCAGAGTGTACAATCGAATGTGGAATGATGCAAAGTAGCCTATTTTGATGTATTTTCATTTTGCAATGAGCAGACTCCGAGGACAGTTCATGCTTTCAGAGAAAAGTGCATTGATTAGATTCGTTTCAAACCCAGGGCTAGATTTAATTGAATTAGCTCAGGTTTAAAGTTTTGGGTCTGGATTTTCAGACTGCCCTCGTGTATGATAAACATAGCCCCGTCAGAACAGGCTCAGTTTTCATGTCGTACACTCTTGGATATATATATATATATGTATTTATGTTTGAGCTATTATCTCTTGAGTTATTTATGGCCGTAAAATGTCTCGGCACTGCCCACGTGTCTATAGGATTATTTTATTAGAGCAGGCTTTTTTTTGGAATAGCTTGAAGTATGATTTGTTGCTGGTCTTGCATTTTTAAATTTTTATTTTTATTCAAAATGTAAAAATCTGAAAAACGTATCTTAATTTAGTTCGTTAAATATTAATATTTAAATCGTTTCACTGGTTTTTAAGAAAAGAAAAAAAGCCAAGTTTTCTTTTTACATGATTTTTTTTATTTTAGCACTAATTTAAAAATTGAAAACATGTATTTATATTAGATAAGTTGTATCCATTTTCGTATGAACTGCATTTTTAATGTTTTAAAGCAACTCCGTCTGACTAATTAATTTACCGACTCTAATTTATTCACTTATAAATCTTTTGTTCAGTGTGCCGCGTTTATAATTCTTAACCCACAGTTTACTGTACTGTGCTGAAATAGAAAAAGCCCCTCTCTTTTTATTGTCCGCACATCATGTTAACAGTCATTTACACGCTTAAAAAAGCAGAACGAGTTTAGCCCGCTTTATACGTTTTTATCTAGTCTCTCATACCCTGCAGAAAAAGCCTAGCTGCTGGCACAGACAAAGCTGGCATCAGTGCCTCCCAGATGGGGAATAAAACAGTCCCTTGAAATCAGCAAAGCATCTGAACCTGCTTCCACAGATGGCTCTTTAGTAAGATGAACTGTATAGAGTTAGAAAATCTTGAGGAAGGGTGTGCAGGAATAATGTTGTGTTTGTGACATGATGCTTGCAGGATGTGGCTGCCCCTGTGGACTGGTACTAGTAGACATGAATGTCACATGTATTTTTGCATCAGGTTGTGTTCCAGTGACCTGACATTTCTTGTGGTACAGATCAGCCTCTCAGCAGAGCTGCATGTAGGGCACATGCCACAGCAGAACAAATGTGAACCAGCCACATTTTGTTTCCAGCCCACTCTCCATTTGATTGGATATGAAGGGCAGTTAGTCTGCTGAAAAGGTGCTTGTAAGTTTATATATCACAGATCCATATGTCAGGGCAAATTATTCTGAGCACACTCTGCCCTCACCTTTCATAAGTCATTCCACCCTTTCAACTGATTAATTATTTCAGAATTTGCAAAATAGCATTTATGGATAGCTGGAGCTTTCAGATTGTTTTTCTTTGACAGTATGAGAGTGACTGCTATAAAACTGCTGTTTTTGTTAATGTAATATGGTTACTAGTACCTTATATTGAATTGTGGATTCACATTTACTCTGCTTTCAAACGCCCTGATTTCCTCCTTGTTTCCTCCTAAGAACTTCCCCTATGGATCCTTTGTAATGATTGCCATTCAATTCAGAATTCTTCCATTTCTGCAGGAGACAAATTGCTATTATCATTATTTCTTTGCTTAATTGTAATGTATTTTACATGTTTTAATCCACACACATTTGACAAATTTGGCTGTTTGTTCTATAGACTTTAGAACATTATTTAGACAATGCAAATATCTGTAATCTACATAAACAAGAGTTTTGTATCATTTTGCATACACATCTGTATCTCATGCCCCAGCTTCATTCTTTTATTCTCTGTAATTGTTTTGTTATTAGTACCGTGCTCTGTAAATGCAAGTTATAGCCGAGAACAGATATGTGGCAAA